AAAAAAAAAAAAAAAAAAAAAAAAAAAAAACGAAAAGAAATTACAGAATAGCATTAATTTACCCTCTTCATAGTCAAATTCGTGTGCACTGTCTTCGTCAATGTAGACATTACTAGGCCGTCGATCGTCTTGATTACCGCACGGTACAGTCAGTTGTTGCAGTGAATCGAACGACTGTGTTGTTCCGGAATTAGCCGAAGCATTCAGTTCACTTGGGAAATGCACCATCTGACCGGCACTTTTTGGTCGTCGCATTTTGAAAGTCATTCGATGAGCAGATACTGGCGTCATTGAACCACTAGCGACCGTGGCATCACTACCGTAAGAGCCACTTTCCTCCGACGTTTTACGACTACGTACCATACGACCAAACAGTGTACCGCCACCGTTAATCCTGTTACTGCATGTGCTGTTCGGTCGTACTGTATAGATTCGTTGGTGCCCTTTCAGTGGAACAGTTTCTGATTCCAACGAATCGTTGGTGTTTTCATGGACAACAGCAAAGTTTGCTTCGCTAGCAAACTTTCTTAATTGCCGCTTAATGATATGTTTTGCCATATTTGGTTGCGGTGAAGGCGAAAATGCAACACGACAACGATGCAACGATTTTGGCGAATGAACAGCACTGGCTGACATCATTGCTGATGTACCGTTATCATCCATTTGTACAGCAACCGACGATGGAAAATCACTGGAACGCACAGTTAGTTCCGGATCTGTCGACGTGTAACCATCACTGTTATGATCAATAAAGCTTGTTGAAGCGTCCTTTAATGGTTCTAAGTCATCATGAAGTATTCCTGTAGTTTCGTCTGCATATGTAAAACAATCAGCGGATTTCCTAACAAGCATCCAGAACGGTGGAAGGAAAGAGAAGAAAAAAGGTGAAAAAAAAGCAGATGATAATGAATAACGAAGAAGAAGAGGATTAAAAAGAAGGAAGAAAGAATTAAAGCAGTCACGTAATTGCAGTGTAGGTTTCGCGCGAATACAGTAGTAATAATCAAATAAAAACACTTGGTTCTTTGATTTCACTGGTTGCTTCCATTCAGTCGGTACCTGATGATAATGATGATGATGATGATGACGACGACGATTTCTAAATTTTTGAACAAATAAAACTTATCGCACCATTTACGAAAAAAAAAATCTGTGAAAGATGATACGCATAACGTCAGCTCTAAAAGAATTTTGTTTTTTTAACAATCAGTTGATTGTACCATCAAGACAGAATGACAAAATATACATATATAAACGATGATGACGACGAAGTAGTAGAAGAAGGCATTACGAAGAAC